TTCACATCTTCTTGTGGTCACGTAATTCTGCGTCAGCGCTGCTTTTGGCGCCCAATCTAACTTGCTGCAAGCTATAACACATTTGCTTTTGCGAGCGGGAGGGTTACATCGGAGAGTTTTCAGTAGCACCCCTTGCCTTTCGGAGTCTTTTTGGCTTGTCCAATTTGGAATTGGTGGGAAGGTATAAATCGCGTAAGTTGCACGGGTGGCCGCGGCACCCGTGCCCCGACTTTAGTTGCCCACGAATCGGTTGTGCCTCGCTACCTGCTCCTTGTTGGTGTTGTCCTTCAAGCCCGTATTTACTCCCGTTAATGCAGTCAATGTTATCAATGAAGATTTGTTGTGCGTGGCATGTATGGTTTAGGCTCCGACTTACGGTTGAGCTTGCCATACGGCAAAATTTCTCCATTGTGCGGCTTGTCTGTTGGCATCAGGTCACAACCTCGGAAAACTGCAACTCCAGAAAGGGATTCTTGGCAAGATGCGCATAACCAAATTTTCAAGAGTCTTTGGGTAGGGGAACCCTGCGGGCGGTTTGCAAGTCTTGGGTGGGTCTGCAAGAGCAGGATCTCTGCCATTTTTCCCACTCCAAGGTGCTCTGTTGCCTCTTCTTCTCTTGGACTTACACTCAGCGTATCGCTTTCAGACGTGGCCTGGCGTAGCCTGTTGGCTTTCATCTGCCTAAGCGATGGCCGCTTCAGGTCCGCGTTGTCTTCATCTTGGCAGCTCATTGCACCTTTCAATGGTGACTTCCATTGCACCATCTTTGCCTACGTTAAAGGACGCCCTGTCTTGCCCATGCTCGATGGACGTGGCCTTAGATGCCGACATACTATTGATAACACGCTGGTCCTTGCCCCCTGATGTCTTTGTCATCTGTCGCTTCCGTTTTAATTGCAGATGCGCGTCTGACGAGTCTCTGATGCGCCAATCCATTTGGGCAGAATATCTCAGGTGATGCCTGTGTTGTGCCTTTGCCTTTATTCGCAACTTCGTGGGGATGACAGGCGTTGCATGTCCTATAAATGGCAGGCAGCGGCTATAGTTGGGTTGCTGCCTATGAGTGGTCCATGGCGGCTCTGTGCTGCCTTTCTTTGCTGCGGTACATATCTTGCAGTGACGGCGGTGAGGTGCTGCGGTCGCAATCTCCCCTTTCCGTTTGCCATACCACACGCGATACATATTGCTTGTGGTTCGGCGAGGGGACCCCATGTATGATCCAACGCGTGCGTGCAAGGAACCCAACCGTGGCATTTGCTTCAGAACGAATAGCGCTGAGGGTCATATCAGCTGGCAGCAGTCCCTCCCACAGCATGAGGCCATAGAAGCCGATTTGGGCATGAATGTATTGCAAGGCGAGAAGCGGCCCCGCGTCGGCATGGTCAGTGACAACCTCTTCAAGTCTCTGCTCCAAGTGGAACGCCATAAGCACCTTCACAAGGTCGTGCGCTCCAAGGCACGTGCCCAACAACGAAGGAGAGACGCAGAGTCGGATTCGCCCAGGATCGGTGGGGAGCCAATCCCCACTCAAAGGCCGACTGTATGTGCCTCCGCACTGATCAGCCCATCAGTAATTTGGAATGTGCGAGAGGGGAAAATCTGCCACCGCATGATGTAATACTGCAGGGTGGGCGGTTCACTGTGTCGTGTCCTCGCAGCCAGCCGAAGCCAAAGTGGGGGGGTGGCAAAAAGAAGCTCCACGCACATGTTGCATCTCGCACCAACATACAAACAGAGACTTTCGGCCGCACGTTCAAAACCGATTCCTTTAGGGAAGATGGCCGCTCCAAGCTGCCAAAACAGGATCCTCAGGCTTGCGAATTCACTCAGAAGTCGTCTGCGAAAGTGATAGATGAAAGTCCCTCATCCACAATAGCTCTACCAATGAGGACACTCGTCTCTTCGCTCAAAACCTTTATTGCTTTTATTTGCAATTTATCGACATTACTAATATCTAAATCTTCTTCGTTTGTATTAGTCAATTCGTCTACACAATCATTTTTAACAGCGCTCGGTTTACTTCCCATTTCTATGTATATATATAGTATCTTATATTTTAATTCTTCACTCTTGCCTTTGATTTAGGTTTAGGTTTGAGATAATCTTTAATGAAATTTTCAACTTCAAACAAACGAGTCTCTAAATGTTCAATCTGTGACTGCTGTTCTCTACAAACACCCCGAAGCACCGAAGTTAGTTTAACATAACTTAACTTCTTGATACCTTCATCGTCAGTCATCACGATATTTTCCCATTCAGTAGGCATTGCTTCTTTTATTTCATCAGCAATGATCCCGATATGATTTTTGGTAATTCCTATTTCTTTCTCTTCTTGCATTTTGAAGGTTTTAGGTTCTATTTGCTTTACAATATCAGTACAATTATGTTCTATACTTTTGAGGTCATACTTTCTAGTTTTATCGGATGTGTCTAACAAATCGCCTTCTAGCGTATAAGGTGGAGGAACTGATACTTTTGATGGAGTAAGATACAATCTTTTACTGTTATTGGCAAAAAACCTTAAATCATCTTTAGGGTCTTCGTTGTAAAAAATGGTATGATTTACACCTGCTATATTGGTAGAAGAAACATAATTGTTTTTACTTGCTTCCTTGTGAAAATACAATCGTTTATCTTGAGTAGTATAAGCGTCTTTTGAAAGCATAACATCTTCTTCATCCTTTCTTAATCTCATAGATTCAGTAAAGCCAGTTCCTGCGGTAGTAGCAGCTTCAAAAATCATATCATTAGTCGCGTTTGTCCTTGTTCTAATGTAATTACAATACAAATAATTTGATGATAATGACTTTGAACTTCCAATATTATTAACAATATTATTCGCTCCATCCAATTTGAAATATTCAACACCGTTTCTTTGAAACACCATATCATTATCTCCTGTTGTATTGATATTGTTTGTTTTAGCATCATTTGAGTATAATGTTATACCGGTGTTTGTTTCAACTTGATTATTTCTTGAGTAAAAGAAGTTTGTTTTGGATTTTGAATCTTGAATCTTGAATCTTGAATCGGAGACTTGGGCTGACAATGCTTGCAAGTGCTTGCAAGCGCCTTGTGCATTAAGTTTTGGTTATAAAGTCTTGACAGCGGATCTTGGGGGGGAGGTTCCATATATGTATATATAGATTTTTAAATGTACACATATATACACACTACGTATATGGCACCCCTAGGTCTTAAGACCTCTTAAGACCTCACTCTGGAGACTCGAAGCTAAGGCTTGGAAGAAATGGTGTATATGTATATGAATACGTACATTTCTTTACAGCACATGTTTCTCAAACAAGGATTTTTTTGAAGAAACAGTGTTTGTTTCAAATTGCAAGTGTTTACTGGAGGAATTCAGGGCGCGTGTCTTTAAGGAAAACACGTCATTTGTGAAGGGCATTTCTTCTTTGAAAACAGGCACTGTTTTCAGAAGAGATACTTAGAACAAATGCACATAGTTCACAAACTCAGTATTTCTTGGAAAGGCCGTGTTTTGCTGAAGGCGAAGTTTCAGTTTTCAGCGAAAGCGATAAAACATATGTTAATTTCTTTTCAGGATAAAGTTTATTGTTTTCTCTTTTTTTGTAGAAGAACTAAACATTACATTGAATGTTGTATTATTCATTCCTGCCTATGTATATATATATATATATGTTTGCTATGTTGCGTATTCTTTCACAAATGAAGTAGAAACAAACAAACAAACGTTTCAGCATTTTTTTCTTCATATTTTATCTTATCAGGTGGTTCATCAAATGGATCAATATTATTCCTTTTTTTGTTTATATCTTCTGTATTACTATTACTTTGTTGTTAGTTCTGATTCAAGTTCGTTTTCATTTTTTGAATTAAGTTTAATATCATGATTATTGTTATTAATATTTGAATATATATTTGGATCTTTTAATACTTTTTAACTTTTCTTATATATATTTTATGATTAGTAATATTACCCAAATAAATAAGTTATATCTATTAACATAAACGATATTAATATAATAGATAAATAGATTGAAAGAACATTTATCCATGAATCATTCAATGTAAATGATGAATATTAATAACATTGCACCAATGATATTTCTATAATTGAATTATGCTGGTAATATTATATTGATAATATGATAAAATATATTTAGTAAACATGAAAATAGAAATACCTATTTTCTCATACATTTTATATTATTATAGTGATATAATATGAAAATATGTAAAAAAAACATTTAAAATACAATAAAACATTAAACATGATGCATAAATTATAATATATAAAGGTTTTAATGGTTGTGGATTACCAAAAATATCAACTGATCCAAAATATAACAATCGAATTGTTTGTATTAATATTATTATATATTCAAAACATGTGGGGGTACCTCATGCTGGACCTTTGGGGCATCACTTTGTGAAAGAGACCACCATGCAAAAACACCAGTTTCAATGCTCCGATTTCTATCAAAACTGACCTATGAAGACTACTGAATACTGCAGCGGCTGCAGTGGCTGCAGTCCACTGGCACATGTCTGCAGACGGGTGTTTGAACATTTTCTTTTTAACATTTTGCTTCCTGATTTTTGCTTCCTGATTGTTTTCTGAATTGCTTGATTTTCCGAATTTTCGGCCTTCGGAATTTATTAATGGGCGTTTTTTGTGGTGGTTTGTAGATTTGGGTCGTGGGGGGTCGGCCTGTCAGAAAACATTTTGTTCAATTCGCCTTGAAATTTGCCCCTGCAGAATTGAACATTGGGTGAAACAGTGAACAGGGTTCTCGCTGGCCCAGCATTTTGTTACTTAGAACCCATTTCTAAAACCGAACGTGTGTCCCTGGGTGTCGCGTACCGCCATGGCCGTCTTAGCTTCAATGTATGTTGTGAGCTTACACAGAGCATGAAACATTCAAGAGAATATGGTTGCTGGGGAACATTTGACATTGGACACATGTCAACAATAAGGATATCAGCCAATTCTCCAAGCCGTGTTTTAACTCGTGGTTGTTGTGATCGTTGGGAAAGGCGTGGGCCCCGAGCTGGGCAGCATCGGGTGGTTCTGGGGTTTGTCAGTTTCCATCGCAGGATGACAACATGTTCCATGCATTGCTGGAGGCTTCCGTATATGTGTGTTGGCAAATTCAGATTCTTATTTGCGAGAGGTCGACGAGAACGTGACATTGGATGATTGACGGTGATTGGGACGGTGATTGGAAAGCTAAGAGTCGTCATGTTTGATGGATCACACACGAAAGAATGGGCAAGGACCACCTCTTAGCTTCTTGGCGGGTTTCAACACAAAACTGGGCACAACTATGTCACAACCCACTTGAGGAAACACCCAACTATTCTCTATTCACTAGCAGTTTGGGATGAGCATTTCCGTATCACATCAGTTTACTGACGGTTAGTTCCATTTGCATGCTGTATGCGAGCTATCAGGTTTGGACTTTTAGCCAATCGAGCACAGGGATTCTGGAATTTCGCCCTTATCGTGGAGATGGCTGTGAAGTTTAATTCGGAACACCCGCCAAATAGTTGGTGGGGGCAGATTCCGATGTGCTCCTACCTCCTTCACCATGAGTGTTTAGGACCTGCTTTGGGATTCCACCATTTCCTTCAGCCCATTTCTTTCTGGGGGAGCTTCGACCTTCACATTCTTTTTCCGCGACGCCGAGGGGCGCCTGCCGTTGGATGGCCGCGAGTGGCACTCGCAAAAAGTTCGCCAACAGGCGCTGGCGGCCGTTTTGGGGGTGGGTGGGGTGGGCGGGGCTTCGGGGGGTTTGGGAGGTTTGGGGGGGTTTGGGGGGGTTTGGGTTTGGGGGGTTTGGGGGGGGTTTGGGGCGGGGGGTTTGGAGGACACTTAGAGCCAAAAAGCACAGTTCCATTATCCTAAGTGTTTATCAAAAAGGTGTCTTTGCACAAGAGTCCCTCTACAGCGAGGTTTGTGAGTGACGAGGGTGCTTTTGACTTAGTGCACTTTGTGCTTTCAGTTCCACATCTCCACATGGCTCATTGTTGGCCCGGAAAGGGTTTCATGTTGGCCTGCTTTCCCAGGCTGTCCCAAAAAGGTCCCACAATTTTGACAACCGAGTGGTTCTTTTGCCATCTTTTTCGCTGGACTCAAAAGGGTGACTCTTTTTCTTTTTCAGCATTGGCACTTTGCATCATGGAAATGGTTAGTTTCGGCCAAGGGAATCAATCCCCCCAACAGTGATTACACCGGTTCAGATCGCACACTGCTTCTCAGCCGACTTGCGAGCCGGCCAGCAACCTCAACACCCTCCTCGGCGCTCCGAAAGAGAGCGCAAAGGCGGGGCATCTCATGCGATCCAACCTTGCCCCTGAGCCTCCCCCCCTGCCTGGTTTCCAAGGGGTCTTATTTTGGGCTTATCTTGGGGAAATAGGGGCAGGGGTGAGGGATTGGATCCCATGATATCTGAGGTTTCCATGTGCACCATACTTGTTGGCAAGCATTCCAGGAAACAGTTGCCGAAAGCACGTGTGTTGCGCATGGAATGCGGCGAAGAACTGCGTTAGCCACGTCAGCACTGGGCGCAGGCAAACTTCGGCCCTGCGGTGTCCCGACCCGTTGCCGGGTTTGCATTCACAGCCGGACAGCCTCTGCCATGCAAAGAACTCAGCCCAATTTCCTGTTGAGGTTTGATAGAACCTCACACCAAGTAAAGAACCGAGAAAAACAGGAGCTGGTTCCAACTCAAACCTCATGCATTCTTGAAGGCCGCCACTGCAAGCCTTGTGCTTCCTGCCTTTTTTGGTGGACTGTGCCGGAACCTTTGGCAGACCATTTGTGGCTTGACTGCAATCCGGGTGGGATGGATGAGAGTGCTAGCGTGGAAGTGCATAGAACCCTTTGCACAAACAGAGTAGTCTTCCAAACGGCGATTGGTGCTCGAAGCCATTTTGGTTGGTGGCAGGCGCATTTCACTATCTTGCCATGCAGCCAAGCGCCCAGTTTTGAGGCTTGTCTCTAAATTAAGTGTATTATATATAGTTTTCCTTGAAAAGCAGCCCCAAAAAGAGCACCATCCCACCCACGAACGTGGAACCTGACTGGCGGGTCTTGGAAGACCATTTAACAGAGACCCTTTGGTGGGTTCCATGTTCGGGGACGGCAAGGTATATCGGTATGTGTCAAAAAAACGTGAGACCCCCATAAGTGGCTCGCTTGTGGTTTCCCTTTAAAGCATCTGAGCAGATTTCTGATGCTTTTGCTGGCCACGTCGTCTCTGCCAGGTACGATCTGGAGGGACCGTCAAGCCTGTCGCGAAGCCCAAAGGCATGGTCTAGCACGGTGTTTCTCAAAATTAGCGACCCAGCTTGGTGAAGAATGCCTCTTGAAATAATTGCAGCTAAAACTCGGCAGTCATACTCCTAGCTTGGGAATAGCATGCCGCCAATTCAATTCTGGTAAAAGGCATAGGAATCTCTGTTAGTTTCAGGGACAGCTGAGGAGCTGCGTCCCGATTAAATATGGCAAATCTCCTGACTCACAGGAAGCCAGTTGCTCCCCAAAAGTTCCCCATCCCTAGCGCCCTCCAGGCTTAGTCTCGCTCGGGAAAGCTCCCACAAGCTCCACTGCCGCGCGAAAGGCGGGGCAAGCGGTCTCAAAGACCGCGGCGTTTGGGTTGCAAAAAAAAGTCCGGAGATGTGGCTTCCGGAGCAACGGACTATTTCCAAGTTGTCTTCCTTAGCAATTCTTGGTGTTAGGCGATTCCAAGGGACGGCTTTTTCCGTGACAACCTAGTCGCAGGGATGAGAACCCACCACTAGGCAGGGACCGGCCTATTTTCCACAACCACATCCGAGTGTTGGCTGTAGATCGGCTCGCATGCCATCCAGACTGAGACCCAGAGGCCCCTGAATTGTGGCGAAATGAAAATGTGTGTTTTCTCCACTAACCAACAAGAAGGTCGCATCGTCTGAGGGACATCGCCTATCGCCTGCTCCTCAACGCAGGGCGCAGCATGGAATCAGCTTGAGGAAGAGGCCAAAAAGCGCGAGGAGCGACGAAGTGGGACTGTACATGGGGGCCTTGCTCCATTCTTTCTTTTGCGTGGTTTCCCTCTCCGGTTCGAAGTTTCAACCAGTGCCAAAGTTTCCCTTTTTGGGGTGGTTTCCCTTGTTTGGGCCCTCAAAGAGACAATATATTGGAAATGGGTGCTTCCGAAAATGGGCGCCTGGCCGGCTTGTGTTGCAGGCAATGGAAGCTCGAACAGCTTGTCACTTGTTGTGCATTCCAGGAGGAAAGTGCCAAGAAGAAAGAGGAGTCAGCACTCGACTGGCCTGGAGCTTGGTAAAGGAAGGAGTTCTTGTTTGTTTGCTTGATTGCTTGCTTGCTTGATGTTTGGCTTGTTGGTGGGTGGATTGGTCGGTTGTTTGTTTTTGACTGTGACGCTTTCAGGGCTGACATCGACTTCAATGATATTCAAAAAGCCAAAGAGCAGGAGGAACAGGAGCTGCAGGGCAGACGGGAACCGTGCTGGATTTCCGCCAGATTGGCAGTTTCGCTCCAAGTCTTCCGACTGTTTGCCAGTGGTCTGAATGCTGGGATTGTGTTTCATTGGGGGAACATCCTTTTGGAGGGCATTTTTTTTGAGGGGAAACCAACAGGAGAGCAACCATTTTGAGGTTGAGAGGCATCCACATCCGTGGTGCTGGCATTCGGTTCCTGGATCGATCCCCCTCCAAGTTGGTAAATACTTCGAGGTGATCCGAGCCTTTGTTGGTTCGAAGGAACCCCAAAAACCCAAAAAGGGTGAAGGATGGGGTGTGGCCATGTGTGCTCCAAGGCACTCTTATCCATTTTATCAAACAAGCACAGCACGTGTTCTGCTGCACAGTTTCGACTATGAACCTGGGTACACCCTAGGTATCAAACATACATATGCATGTTGACATATATATATATATATATGATACATGTTTGTCTATGTTAGGTCAAGCTGAAAAAAATATCATTTCTTCCATATTCAGTTTCGCGAGCAGTACACTCAGCGTAACATAGAGCAACATCCTCCAAAGTAGTTCTCTCAAACAACATCTCAGAAGTTGCATCAAGCCCAACCAGCCTTGCCTTGGTTCACTTGTTTAGAATGTTTTCAGTGAAAAAGACCGGCTTTCGGTGAATTTTAGAAAGTAGTGCCAGTAAGATGGAACGGGGAAAAGGTCAAATTCTGAATTCTTGGATGGCTTGAACAAGAGTGCACAGGAAAACATGATTAACCAAGAACTGGGGAAGCATAGTTATGATCCGTTGGCATTACGTCATCTTGCTCAACAATTGGTTAACGAGTGTGGAGAAGACATGTGTGAGTGTCACGCGTGTAGAAGTTCAGACGATCTCTATATTGTTTAATCACATGTAAAACCGCACATTATATTCAATGTGCAACTAGACGTTATGTTAAAGACTTTGGACAGGTTTGCAAACAAAGAATAAATACCGTGGTTTTAAGCGTTTGGACGCAGCGATCTAGCGTGTCTAATGCTTACCTATGTTTCATCTCGTTTAACACAGTCTGAATCATCACCAGATACACTATAAGTCAATGACCTACATTGCAAGATATGTTTTTTTGTTTTTTGGGGTATGGGTTCGCATTTCTAGAAACACTGGGTCAAACAAATAGTATATTTGAGATATGTATATATATAAATTACGTAGGGTGTGCCCATGATTCTAGCCCAAGAAATACGAGAAGACAGATAAGAGCGCCTGGGAGGGCACGCCAGAGAAAGGGGGACCCTATCCTAAAAGGTGGGGTCGTAGGAGATTCCTGTGCGCACGGTCGAATGTTTTGGAGTAGAAGTTAGCCTTCGGGAGCGGGCATGGTGAGACGTTTGTGCCAACGGTCGCAGGCTCAGATCCAAGCAAGCCCTGCCCCTTGGCACGAAAGGGGCGTAGAGTTGAGCTTCAGTTCGCGGCTGGACTCCGCCGCTTTGGCTTGGCCCTGAACAAAAACCCAGGTCTTGGGTGAGGTTTTCTGGGGTTGCAGGGAGGTTGCCGGGCTTGTGGAGAGGTAGCCCCTGAACATGGATGCAGGGAAGCAAAAAGCAATGCGCGTCTCACACGCGCGTATCTTTCCTTCCAAATTGGGGTTCCCCAGAATGGAGATGTGTCATTGATCCACGCAGCTGGGAGTTTTTTTTGGGGGATTCAAGTGCACAAGACTTGGGGCTTCCACTGACTCATTTGGCAGGTGCGGCACGAATCGCCGGAGGTCGGAGGCCAGATAGCCGCACTCCGGAGGTCAGTGGGCTTCTTTTGTGAGCCCTGGGGAGCCCTGGGGAGCCTTGGGGAGCCTTGGGGAGCCTTGGGGAGGTTTGGGCAGCAAGCAGCTTTGGAGAGCTTCCCAAACATGGAAGTGCATGGGCCCCGTTTGGAAGACGGTCGTCTTGTAAATGCGGGAGGGTACGGTGGATGCACAAAACGTTGCAAGGGGACATTCGCGACAACCCGGCACCTTGCCATTCGTTTAGCCATACTCGGGCCTTCTTTAAGGCAGTCTTTTGCTGGGCTTCCCGGCTGCAACATCGGGCTTTGTCCATGGCATGGAGGTTATCTCTCTTGTCGGGGCTCTTGTTCTGGAGGCGATGTTCGGGCGAGGCCCGAGCGGTGCGAGGACAGGTTCGAGTCTATTGGGGGAGGGACATAGCATGGTGGGACTGAAATTCAATCATCATTTTACTTTAATTGACCGTCGCTCACATGCGACCCTGATGGGTTGACATGATGACCCGTAGTAGACCCGGAAGAGTATAATTGAACTGGATTACTTTTCTGGATTCTCCATGGATTCCTCAAAGTTTCACAAACTGCATGCCCAAGACCCAGGATGACTCTTTCTGTAAAACGCTGCATAGGCTGCATGAAACAACACACTCGTGTGTCCAAGTGCGAATGGGCGGAATCGCTTTTGCGATGTTTTTTTGGGCACCTCCCATGTTAATGTTTCCACACCCAACGTTAGGCTTGTCTCGTCGCACATTTCCCGAGGAGGAGGCGGAGCCTCGCCCAATCCGCAAGGAAAGCAGGCTTGGCTTTGTTTTTTGTTGTTTGTCTTGCGGTGGCTGTTTGAGTGTGCCGAGCAAAAGAAGGAAGGCGGTGCATGCTGGAACGCTATTTTCGCTGGAGCGGATCGAACCTCTTCGGTGAGTTTTGGACAGACCTTGACCATGACTGGGACCTTGCTTGAGCCGGTGCGGTAAGTCCGCGTGGCAAGCGATAGGAATGTGGACAATGTGGCCCCCATTCCGGGTAATCCCAAAAAAGGGTCCCCCACACCCATCTCTTTTCCATGTGGCCATGTTGGCCATTCCATGTGGCCATGATGGAAGGGATGGATGGAAAAGGGTCCCACATGTTGGCCATTCTGAGCATCACCTCTTGGTCCGTGCCGTCGGCAGGTCCTGGGCTGACCAGACAGAGCTGTCGGATGAGGCCGGGCCCCTTCTTGGTAGGCTTCTATAGATGGATGCTGGCTTCTTGGCTGGTTGTTTGATTATGGGTTTGTTGAAGACAACGAGAGGTGACGCATATTTTCTCCAACAAATTGGAATGACGGGCGGGGCAGCTTCCGTTCGAGGTGGGGAACCAGGATGTGGGAGCAACTTGCAGCGGCGGAGCGTCTTAACCCCGGACCCTGGAATGCTTTCCTTCTGGAAAGGGGGCTGCACGCTTCCCGTCCAACAGCACATGTCGCTCAAGGGACTTTTCATGGGGCCATACCCCGATCAATGCAACCGGGGCCATAATATGGGAAGACCCACGGCGGAGTCGGTTTCAGTGTCGCTCTAAGCCTTCTCAGTTCCCGCTATCTGCAACCAGAAGCCTGAAACACCTAGATATCAGTGTGCCATTTGAGCCATGAAAACTGAAGGGTTGGCTGCCCTTGTAATTCTTTATCATGGGTTTCGGGTAGACCACTCGATTCCTCACTTGACGACCTGCGCAGTTGTTGCTCGCATCCTACAGTGGCCTTGCATCTCTCAACTTAAGGCTTGGGGGGAACCCGCGGCGCCCGGGGTGGGGAGCGATGGACTTGGAGAGTGGCAGTTGTAGCCAGGTGCCGGCGGAGTCCTCTCGAGTGGGGCGCTGAGCGGCGAAAAGGTCGCAGGCTTTTAGTTGTGTTCAAGGGTTTGTCCCCATTTTCCTCCCGCCCCCAAACGTGAAACCCACCACAGGGCCCTTTTGCAAGAAAATGGTCCAAATCTGGTGAAACCCAAGGTACTGGTACCGAAAATTGTGTGCAGTTGTTTTTATTTTGTACCTGGGGTTAAGAAGTTCCAATACCCTTTTCGTGCTTTTGTTTTTCAGGGTACTGTTTTAAGGTTGGGGATGAACCGGATATCAAAAGCCGATTCATACACATAGCCATGTTCCAACAGACAGCAAACGATAGTGTTCGGATTTGGATTTTGGACAGGTTCACTCTTTCAAAGGGGTCAATAGTCAGGTGGCTAGTTGGTTTGGATTGGTGGTTCAAAAGCTTGAACATCTGGTTCTTGTGGGTAAATGGGCCACCACTCCCCAACCTCTGCACCAGCCATCCAAACCTGGGCGCCAGCAATCCACACCTCCATTTCAGTCAGCTGCCGTTCTGAGATGGACAGGTCTGGACGATGGACAGGAGACAAATCCAAACCTCTCAACCGCCAAAGACTTTTGTTGAGGGTAAGATCACCAAGAACCTCTGAAGGGTAAATGGGAACCAATCCAAGCTACCAATTCCAATCCAAGCCTCCAAATCACCAATTACCTGGATCGCCAGTTGCTTTTTTTTCCTTCTGCATGCACTTTACCCCCAAAACCAGCAACAGTGACTGAGGAAAAGAAGCGATCGCAACTCGGTTATCTAGGAGCTTCCTTGAGGGTAAATGGGAGTTAATCGGAGGGAAGCTGACACGCGGACCGCGGTACTTCCCGCCCATTTTCGCCCGAGGACCGGCCCTCCAGCCCGCCCAGAAGCCCGCCCCCGCGCCCGGAGCAGGCCGGGGAGATGTGGAAATCCGTGCGCGCGATGGCGGATGTGTGCGTTTTTTTTTGGTTGCTATCCTTTTGCAGGTTGCAACACAAACTGTCCAAGAAGACGGACATGTTTGGTTTCGCGCCTCTCAAGGTTGATTTCCTTTTTAGTTTGCATGAATGGTTGTTCCTCTTCGGGGATTCCCAAAGATAACCATATAGCTTAAGTTGTAACACCTACAAAATAGTTTTTGGGCGGTATATCCTCAACAAGTGGCAAGGACCCAAGAGCAGTTGTTGTACCACAGCTGTACACCTCAAAGTGCGTGACAACAACCCTGGATTCTGCTTGCGAACACTTGGCGGAACAAGGAATTGCATTTCCGTTATTACCAAGTCTCAAGCAAAGAACTGATACCTGCCCTTTGCCGAAGACTTTGCGCAGTTGGATTGTTTCGGAAGACGCGGACCTGGTAGGTGGCCCTCAATGTCCTTACTCTGGGCCTCCAAAGTGGCGGTTTCATCAGTTTCTTTGCCCTTGGAACATTTATGTATCAAACTAGGGGTGCATGACAGCTCATTGCTTCCCGAGTGCTGCATCGAAGTTTCGCTGAAACCCTTCGAGCCTGTCTCGCCAGGCTCGGGAGGTTTTGCATCAGGAAGTCCACTTGCACCTCCGGAAGGCGCGTCCACTTGCTCTCCGGTGAGAAGCATTTTCTCTTCCCCCAGAAGCTGGAGGCCTCTTTTGCGATTTCTCGTTCTTGATCTTTCGGGCAAGCTTTTCGGGGTCTGGTTGCTTTGGGTGCGCCAGGGCGCTCAAATCCCAGCATCCTTGATTGGAATATGTGAGCTTTTGAGGCCATCCTTTGGTTGGAAGCGACACCCACCATTTCGCTCCCCCTATCTTGACAGATTCCCTTCTGCGCCGTGGGATTTGGAGCCAGACTGGAGCTTTGGACATTACTCCCATGCCGCGTGCCATGAGGAAATGGGGGATGGCTAAGAATTTACCTAGCCTTTTTCCGTTCATGGAAGCTGGAGAGGTTTTGGATCACAGTCACTTCCCTTGATAAAAAGAGCGTAGACTTTGTGGAAGGGGCGGTTGGAGCGGTGGGCAAATTCGGGTAGTTCAACATTGGACACGAATGATCATCAGCCCCAACTTCTTGGGTCGGCCACAATCGCACGAGTCACTCGAGGAAATACGGCATCACCGTTCTTTCCCTTTATTTTTTTGGTAGGGGGCTGCAAAAGCACGTTTTTTGCTACCATACCGAGGGTTGTGAACATGGGGAGGCCTTTTGGATCGGCTTTCATAGTTCAAGTTGATCCGTTGCCAACACACTGCCTTTTTGCCAGAGTTGCTCCTCATAGATGGCCATTTGATAGGGACCACCCTCAAAAATGGCGGGTTGACAGAACTCCCCATGCAAGTAGTGTCCAGCAAAGGGTCCTTTTTCAACTAAGACTGATCACAATTTTGGGGCTAAACAATCGACGCACCATTATCATTCACCTCCTTCGGTTTTCGACGTTTGAAAGCACTTTGCCTGAGGCACCCGAGCCCATGCACAGAGGCAGGTTCCGCGCGACAAGAAATGCATCATGTCTCCGGATCTTCGGTGCTTTTCTTGCTCGGTTTTTCAGGTAAACCCGGTTGAGGCGAAGCATTTCTGCTTTCAGCGCGAGGGCAAACCAGCGGCCAAGAGGGAGGTGTCGGGCTCGCGGTTTTTTGCTTTCCGAGGCGAGGAGGTGCAGCCGCGGCCGAGGCACGGGGGCTGGCCGGTATGGTTTGTTGGAGCCAAAACATTCCACATTTCCCCTGACATCCCAGCGTTTAGGTGTGCTGCCACAGGTGCATTTGGCTGCCCAAAGTAAGCTGCAAAGCCCATTAAGCAAGGCCGTATATATGATGCATGGCTTTGCGAGCTTCCCCGACCGCTTTGGTTTCCGCTCAGTCGCTTTCGTCCGGATGACTTGATCAAGCACCTGCTTGAAAGCCGTTTGCATGTGCAACATGTCCACGTTGGGTCTGCCTAAAAGTCTGGCTCTTGATTTTGATCCTTCCCAGGTTGCGGCGCCAGTGTTGACTCCAGCTCTGCGCCGTGTGCACTAAAGCTACAACCGTCTAAGGGTGGCTTGAGATCTGTGGGGGCAAGTCGATTCGGGTTTTGTTCCAAGTTGCACCGTCGCAAGCAGTCTGCAACGAGCACCTGTCGAAGTAGGCGCTGCTGCCTTATGACGGATGGATCTCAACAGTTGTCAGACAAACGGTGTCAAGGGCACCAAATAATGCAAACTTAGGCAAGTTGCATCACGCTGCACACTCCCCTTTGCGTCGCCCACAATTGCTTTGCTGGCAGAGATCTCTTGGAGCGGAGCTTCCATACAGAAAACCCTGCACCCAGTGCTCAGACATGGGGTGCGCGCGTTTGCATGAGGACCTGGGCTGCTTTTTTCCAAGCAGCTCTGCCCCAAGCACACTGCCAGGAGGACTTGTCGCTGTAGGCACTGCTGTATTGGTAACGAGCGTTCATGAACCAAGCTGTCAATGCACAGTTGCGGCTGCACAACAATACACTTGTTTACTCCCGCCTTGGCCCGAGTCCCAGACCTTCGCCGCAGCCAATTTAACCTCGGACCATTCTGAGGTTGCCGCCATTGTGTTGGTTGCGGCAAGTGAGACCCCTTGAAGCGCTTTCGGACATGTCCAAGCAGTCTGCCGCGCGGAATTCTGTGTGGCTGCAAAGGCTGTATTGCTATTGTTGCTTTGTCAGCCTGAGCCATCAGTGCCACCTCTGCACGCCACCTGCTCGGTCACCCGCAGCGTTGTGCCGCACCAGCTGTCTGCAGCCATTCCAGCCTTGCTGTTGCTGGAGAGACCGTGCTTTTTTTCAAGCTTCATTCCCGATCCCAAGCGTCAAACTCACTTACACGTTGCCAATTAAACCTATTTGTTCGAAGACTTAGCACACGTAGCTACGTCGCAAAAGGACCTAGTCTCGTAAGCGATGTTTCATTTTTGAAGATTCTCAACACTGAGGATTTTCCATGACATTTATGTACTTTCACAAAAACACCAGACTTTGAAACTTTCAATCTTCATCCCCAACCTCAACTCATATCTGTCTTTTCTGAACCCCTTGAGATTGTTACTGCTACCAATTAAATGCAATGGTTTGAGACTTCATATACTCAGTTGCATGCCAAAAGGATCTGGCGTCAGAAGGATGCAAGATTGTCAGGGCAAGAATTTCTGTAGCAATTCAAATTTGCATGCAATAATACGAAACCGAACTTTAAACGGCAGCATCCCCTTGTTTTGTTCAAGAACTATCCGCAAAAAAACCCATATTTTTGAGACACGCCCATAGTGGACGCAATCTCGTGGACGCAGGCCGCCGCCGCCCAGCGCGCCGCCGCCGGTGGCTGCGGCGCTGGGGGCCACATCTTGGTTGGAGGTCAATGTTCTGAGGTGCCGATGCATAGCTCACCTGTTGCTTTCGCTTCTTGTTTGGAGCAGCTGTTTTGTGGCCAAGATTGCTTTTGCAATGTTGGGCATACTTTACATTTCTCTGGCAAGCTGGTCCTTTAGATATGTCTAACGCAGCACAAGCGCTGTCGACGGTCATGCACAGTTATGGTGAATTGGGTCGTCTAATCTTCAAAACTCGATACTTGCGGAATCGGCGCACCGTTCCATCCTGCATTCCAGTGTCCGTGCTGTGAAATTTCAGTTGCACAGACATTGCCACAGCAGCAGCTGTGTTTTTTGGCCCTTCTGCATTTTTTTGCCCTTTGCATTTTTGGAACGGCACATGTTTGACGGACACAACTCCCCCATAGATATGTTTAGCAAAGGGTCCGGTCCATGTGCATTCTGAACATGCGCACTTGCTGCCTTTTTTCCGATTGAGGCCGCTACCTCCGGTAACAATGACAACTCCAGCAGCTTGGCTCCCTTTCAATAGCGAGGTCGTCTTCGCAAAACAAGTCTCTGGTTTGAGAGGACGAAGTGTTGGCTTTCCATTCCGGGATCCTGCTTTGCAACCGCCAACCTTTTCGGGACAAACTAAAGTCACAGATAATTTGGAAGTGGGGCTGGAAAAACGGGGGGCGGAATCCGAGGTTTCAGTTGCTCCGGACCGCTCACATGTAGACCGCTCACATGCAGCGGGTCCGCCTGAGCCGGAGATCCCAAAACAGCCCCCGCCGAGGCACGGACACTGGGGGGCGGAAACCCGATTTTCCGGATGACATGCTCGACTTGCCAAGCTGGAAGCTTAGGAGGTGTTGCCGGAAAGCTTGACCCATGCTGAGATGTTTGGCTCATGGGCGGTGTGCATTTTTGAGGAAATGTTTGGCTCATGTGGCGGTGTGCCTTTTTGAGGAAATGTTTGGCTCATTCTTGGAGGGCACGCCAGGTTGGGTGGTTTTCAGGACAGGGAGAGTGACTTTGCCTCAGATCGGAGCTCTACATTGCCAGGCCCCAGGCACCAGCGCCAGCACACAAGGAGCCGGAGGCTGCCAAGGACGGCACTCAATAAGTTGGACGCCGTTTTTTGGAGTTGGTGCCACCATGAGGTTGGCTCAAAAAGACGACAAGAAGGACAACCACCGGTTTGGGTCATTTGGGTCCCTATATTTTGACACGTGCCCCCCTTCAAAAGTTGCAATGGGTTTGCGAGGCTGGGGTTGTTGTGCTTCACTTTGGTGCAGCTTCCAAGATTTTGAAATCCCTCAGGCTTGGGCAGGTTGGTGAGGTATCATTGCTTTGTTAAGCATGCATGCCTGCCGCTGTGCCATTTTGGTCAAGCCAAAATAGCCAGGCAGGCTACTGGACCGGACAGGTCCTGCTAGGCTAAGATTTGCTTTTCAGCCCCTCCGGTGCCATGGTTGAGTCAGAGGCCCTCATTCGTCAAGACGCGCTCATGGTGGAGCGCTGGTGCGAGGAGCAGGGCATCGAGACTCACTCGGACCTGGCGTTGAGCCGTGGCTGAGACCACGACTGGTTAGGTGGCGCCCTTGTCAGGGTGTGTCCGGGCACCAACCCGAAGCACTCTGTAAACACCAATCTAAGCCGGGACCCCCCGAACACGGAGGCGCGACCATGGTTCATCCGCGGAAAAAGGAATGCGCATCGACAAAGCAATGAACGGTTTGGCCAGACTTTGGGCATCTTGAAAGTGAGGCTCAAGCGGTTAGCGGGAAGAACAAGAAGAAGCAGGAGGAGGAGGAGGAGGAGGAAGCAGAAGAAGAGGAAACAGAGGAAGAAGAGCAAGAAGCAGAAGAAGAAGAAGTAAGAGGAGAAGCAGAAGAAGGAGAAGAAGGAGAAGAAGAAAAAGAAGAAGAAGAATGAGAAGAAGAAGAAGAAGAGGAAGAAGAAGAAGAAGAAGAAGAATAAGAAGAAGGAAAAAACAAATCAGAAGCAGGAGAGGAGAGGAGGAAGAAGAAGAAGAAGAAGAGGAAGAAGAGGAAGAAGAAGAAGAAGAAGAAGAAGAAGAAGAAGGGTAGCGATTGAGATCGCGTCTGAAAGCGTGTTTGGCCCAAAGCTCTCGTTGCCCTTTGTTTGGGCAGCTTCTTGCACCTTTTTGCTGCCCGCCATGGCCGAAAGGGGCACGGATCATGTTTTAAGTCCGCTTGTGTTCGGAAGGAACAGCACAGCGAGCGCGCCTGGCAGGCGCTGCGTCTGGCATTCTAGTCCGAATTTGGGGAACCTAATCTCAGCTTCCCTGCGATTGCCAGCTTGGATTCGTGGTTTTCAGCTTAACTGGGATGGTTTCCCGGACACCCTCTACAAAACCCAATCCCAACCACCCATGCAACCACTAAAAGCCCCCATTTGGTCGGAGGGAGTTTGGTTTTGGGTTCCTTGGCCAGGTCCGCCGGGTGGCCACGCCCGCGCGGCCGCCGGGGCCCCCGCCGCCGCCCCCGCAGGCGGATCGGTTGATCGGGGATGGGAGTTCTGCGGGCTTGGATCGGATCGGATCGGGGCTCCCCACTCTTCCCATTTGGGTGTGTTTCTTGGCGAAGGTGCTTTCTTTGGATTTGCCTGTCAAACCAACCCAAGAAACGTGGCCTCAAAAAAGGACATACCTCATTTTTAGAGGGATCTCAACTTGAAGAAGGACCGGAGGTGTTTCTGAGGCGGGCCCATGTCCAAGAAGGATTCACTCCCTAATGGTTATGTCGCAAAATAGGGGACTTCCCACCCAAACAACAGAGGGCAAAGACGATGGCGACTTTGCTTTGAGTTCCTGAAAGCCCACGGAAAACACCAACATTTTTCCCCAAAACAGCCAAAACAGAAGCCCTTGTTTCTTTGTCTCGTTTTGGTTTCCCACCTCAAAACGCAGCAGGCCCCTTTGAACACGGAAAATGCCACATCCGGGCCGTGTTTCTTTCGCCGCTCGGAGGCTTATGCAGAGGAGGTGTACCAGGCGCCACGAGCCAAGGAGGCGAGCGGCGAGCGGGCGGGGGGCGAGGGTCCTCCCCGCACGAATTCTTCGTGCGCAGCCACTGAAACCTCCAAGGCTTTGATGACGAGCGCGAAAGCCGCGGTTGGTTTGAGGGTTATCACATGTGTTTTTTAGAGTTGAGGCATATCGGCAAATTGCTAGAATTCTCAACCCCGAAATAAGGGACCATGGAAGCTGCCAGAGGACCGTGGAACGGTTTGCAAAATCCGCTTCGCACTAACTGGGGGCCGGTGCCGTTTCGCATCGGTCTTGTGCTTTTGGCTCCGCAAGCCCGAAGAATCCAAAGACCCCCCGGTTTCCATCTCGAGAAACCAGCGGGCTGGAAGTTTGGAGTGACCGCGTCCGCCAGGATTTGTCCGTGCCAGCCGCCAGGACTTTGCCTCGGTAGACTTGGGTCTGAGCTATGAACCTGGGGCGCGTGAAGGCTAAATGTTGCAACAAAAAGCCAAGCTGAAGAGCTCATCGGATTTTAGTTTTCTTGTTCTCAATGTCTTGCTCGGCCGGTTTTGCGTGTCGAGGTCTCCCAAGGAGACAGCTCCGCCAGTTCCAGAGGCGGGTCTTGCGGGTGGCTGGCGGGCTCGCCTTTTTTGGTGGAGGAACCGATGTGCCATGGCGATGTTGACCTAGAGTTAAGGAAAGAGACAAGCGGTTCTGGGTTAGTGGAGTCATGACCAGGACCCACAGTTTTTGGGTGTGTGGTTTTTTCAAGAGTTTAGGAAATTAGAGCCATTTTGCCGGTGGCCTGTTTCAATGGGAAGCCAAAGGGAAGCTTATAGCCCAGTTTTGGGGAGTTGTTTTTCTTTGGCATTTGGGGGCGAACCCAAGCGCCCCATTTCTTTTCGAGGCTGAGGACACCGACGAATCCACTGATGGAGAGGGAGATGAGCCTCCGCCGGAGCATGCAGCGGGGGGCCAAGGGCGAAATTCGTCTGCATTCTTAAAAAACCGCGCGGGCCACGAGTTTGATCGAGGTTCCGGCGAGCCAGCCGAGCAAAACCGGGGATGTTTTTTTTTGATGCGCCAGCCCAGTAAGCGCCATCAACGGGTTGGCGCGACGAATCCCGTCCACGCGAATCACGCGCTCAGGTGCTGGACCTCATGGTGCCGAGAACTGCCCTGGCCGGGTGTTCGATGGACGGATTGGGGGCCGGGGGATGGGGAGATCTCCATCCTGGTTTCAGGTTTTGGAGATCTCCCGGGTTTCCTCTTGAAGAGCCCCACCAGCATGAACCAACTTAGAGCAAGGGGCCCTTTTCTCTCGACTTAGCTTCTCTTTTTTGAAGCTTCCCTTGTGCCTGTTCGGTACGGGGCCCAAAAAGCAGGCAGCGGTGGTCGGACAGAAACAAAATGAAGGGTTCGGCTAATATTCAACAAAGCAATTCCGCAAAAATCACAAACAACAATTAGAATGGCCACCCCCTCCCCCTTGCCCACAAGAAGAAGAAGAAGAAGAAGAAGAAGAAAAGGAAGAAGAAGAAGAAAAGGAAGAAGAAGAAGAGGAGGAGGAGGAGGAAGAAGAAGAAGAAGCAAAAGAAGAAGAAACAACACAACAAATCACAAACACAACACACACACACACACAGACGTGACATAAACAACAACAAACAACCAACCACCACAGAAACACGGCACATATCACTGCCAGGTGATCAATATTTCTCACGTGCTGAAGCGCCTGAACGGGTGCTGCAGCCTCAACCAGCTCACGAAGGCCGTGAAGTCCTTCAAGGACCCCGACCGCCCCAAACATTGGTTGTCCTTGTTCAGGGGTCCCGAGTTATCTCCCTTTTTTTTTTGGTTCATCACCTTGTTGGCAAAAAGAAAGGTGAGTGCGCTTGGTTGGGGGTGAGGTTTGAAGGGGACATATAGTGGTTTACCATGTTTTCCTTTAGACCCGGTGAACCAGGGTCCCCTCAAGCAATAAGTACCGGCGTTTTTTGGAACGAGCTCGTCATTCTTTTTTAGATGCGACAGGCAGACACTAGTTGGATGGTTGGTTATAAAGGGTCATGTTTTTTTGGGCTGAGAAGCAAGTTGGCGGAGAAAGTTCGGAGACCTTCCCTGCAGTCTCTGCCAGCCCCTCTAAAAAGGCTCCCGCGCCTTGTCTATGCAGAAATTCCATGGAAATCACGAGGTCGACCCGTCACCCGTCTTTTTCTCTTGGGTCCTTGCAAGAGTTTCCAGCCCACAACTGAAGGAAAATCGGGGGGGGGGGGGGGGGGGTGTTGGGGGGGGTTGGGGGGGCATTTGGCACATGACACATGCGGTGTAGTCTCGGTGAAGGTCTTTTCTCGGCAGAGATGGAGCAAGAAACAAACAAGAGCTCTGTGACTGGGTATCCTCAAAAGGAAGCCTTTGGAGTCTCCCTTCAGGGTCTACAGCCAACCTTAAGTTTCATCTTTGGTTGTTGACCACCGACTGCGAAGTGATGCGCGCCTGCCTGAAATTAGGCACTCCGTAAAGCATTGCCTTGTGCTCGGAGCGTCTTTTTCGAAAGGGAACCCAAATGAAAACAACCGTTTGGAGGGTCCACATTCTTTCAGAAAAAAAGCACGATACCCCTACAAAACACCTCACAAACCTGGAACGCGATAGGGGACTCCTTAGAGAATGACGCCAGTACTTCTGTTCAAGGACGAATGGCGACCGTGGCTCATAGAGTGGTTGTGCGTTGATATGCCTATGTTTACTTGTGGATACGTGTGTCGGGCTTGTTTGAAAGGGCAATCCAAAAAGACACTTGCAAAAGCAATGTTCTTGGGGATTCCACATCCGGAGACAGACCCGATATAGTGGCCCCTGCGGATTTTCCCTGTTTGGAGACGAACCAGGTTGGGACAAGCCCTTGTTTAAACATGTTTCAGCCACCACAGTTAAAATAGTTCCCTGGTCGTTTTCCGTCCAAAGGCGAGGCTCGAGACGAACATCCCAGGGTCCCATGTACACCAAGGCCAGCCCAGTTGAGCCACGCGGAAAACCCGAGCTGAGTCGCCCACGAGCCCCGAGCTCGGCAGGAGAAGACGGGCATGTCCCTGGAAGCCTTCCTCCGCGCCAACCCGGTGAATTTCAAGCTGGAGGCGCGGGCCATGTATCGGCGGCCCAGGCCCCCCCTGGAAAAAGGGCTCCCCTTTGTACGTGCCCTGGCCCGTTTTTTTTTTAACACTGGTGCACTGAAACAGGGAGCCCCTAAAAAATTGGTCTGGCTGGGTCCGGCTGGCGTTTGCAGGGGCGGATCGTCTACCTGGTGGGACGGGACGGAGAGAAGTGGAAGCCGCCCCCAAAGCAGGCGCTGAGCTTGGGGCGTGGATTCGTGATCGGGGGGCTTGGTCTGAAAATCGGATATGGGGCGCCCAAAAAAGAGTTGGGTGGTTTGGCCTTAGCATTCCCCAACCCCGCAACATGGTTGGTGTCCTTCTTTATGGAAAAGCCAACCTTCTAAAACGTTCGCCATGCGACAACTCACGTGAACAGCCGCAAGGGGGTTCCATTTTTGAACAAGCCCCTGGTAAACTTAAACCCTGGCCGTTTGCCGTTTAGGGAAAGAAGCCAATTATGGTTGAAGTCTACCTCAGGCTTTCTTCAAAAGTGGAACTTTTGCACATTGGGTCCAATGTGGCGGGAGTATGTTTCCATTCTTCCAAGGGGAACCACAACGAGTGTCCCTTGGTCAGAACCCCATCCAGTTTGGTATGTTCACTGAAAGTCATCAATCCCACGAAAAAGGGTTCCACCGAGTGAGTGTAATCTGGAAGACCAGTGGGGAATCCATTCATCTTCACGGAAGCCACCCTCAATTGGAAATTATTTAAATTGTGGTCAGTATGGTCAGTATGGTCCCCCGAAGGAATCCGAATATAACCTCAAGCTTTCGGCCTGTCCACAAGAAACAAAATAAAGAGCTCCTAGCTTTGATATAAACACACGTACGCATCTACGTACGTACAGAAACATGCAAACAAACAAACAGACAGACAGACAGACAGACAGACAGACAAACAAACAAACAAACAAGCAAAGAAACAAACAAGCAAGCAAGCAAGCAAGCAGGCAAGCAAGCAAGCAAGCAAGCAAGCAAGCAAGCAAACAAACAAACAAACAAACCACACACACATACACACGCACACACATGCACACATGCACACATGCACACATGCACACATGCACACATGCACACATGCACACATGCACACATGCACACATGCACACATGCACACATGCACACATACATGCATACATACATGGATACATATATATATATATATATACACATTCCCATACCCATGCCCATGCCCATACCCATACCCATACCCATACTCATCCACACATACACACATACACGCATACCCACATAAACACATGCACACATACACACATACACACATACACACATACACACATACACACATACATACACACATACACACATACACACATACACACATACACACGCACACACACACACACATGCACACATGCACACATGCACACATGCACACATGCACACATGCACACCTGCACACCTGCACACCTGCACACCTGCACACCTGCACACCTGCACACATGCACACATGCACGCATGCACACATGCACACATGCACACATGCACACATGCACACATGCACACATGCACACATGCACACATGCACACATGCACACATGCACACATGCGCACACACACATACAAACATACACACAAACACGCATACACACATACACACACACACGTAAGCGCACACACACACACCCATATACCCATACACCCACACACCCATACACCCATACACCCATACACCCATACACTCACACACCCATACACACAAGTGCACATACACACACATACAGACATACAGACATATATACATACAGACCCAAAGACATACATACATACAGACACACATAAATACAGACATACAGACATATATGCATACATGCATACATGCATACATGCATACATGCATGCATACATACATACATATCATACCCTATGCACACACACACACCATACACCATACACCATGCACCATAGACCATACACCACACACCATACACCATACACCATAGCATACCTTACATAGCTTGCGTACATACATACATACGTACGTACGCACGCACGCAAGCACACACGCACGTACGTACGTACGTATGTACGTCACACACCCAGTTACATGCATTCACACACACACACACACACGCACACGCAGCGCTTATACTGCTGTCAGAGCCAGGAACTCTCAAGATTCCTAGAGCTCGATCCCTTTCGTGTACCAGTCTCGGGAACGAGCAAACTTAGCAAGCTCCCTTTGCAACTCGTCTTCATTTCGGAGTGAGTTTCCATGGCGTGCCTCTAGGGTGCTGCCGCTTGTGTGCTTCATGGCCAGCTTTTGTGGGTAAAAGCTTGTGGAAAGCAGGCTTTGGACCCCCAAAATGGTCGGTCTCCTGTAGGTTTCCCTGTAGATCAACCCCAAACACGGTACCGAAGTGAACTCTGCGCCCAAAAAAGCACCCTTGTCTTGCCCGCTGACCCGCGACGCCCGCCGGGTTCGGTGGAGCCGCGCCTTTTGGCTCTCAGGAAGCGCCCGGTCGCGGCCTTGATGGAAATCCCACGGCGATAGCGCCGCGTGTTTTGGGTGCAAGTTGTTTCGTCACTGGGGTTCCTTTGGGTTCCTTTGGGTGTGGGTCAAAAATAGGGTAACCCCGAAATCGGTTGCCCTGGCAACTGGAAGCAAGTACTAAAACCTGCGGTTTCCTGGTGGTTCAACTTTGACCCATACCCTATTTTGGGTCTTGAACATTGAAATCTCGGGACTATCCTGGGAAGCGCCCCCCCCCGGCCCCAGACGTAGGTTCTTTTGAAAGGCCTCACAAGCGGCAAGCGGAGCGCACAGCCGTTTTCAGGCCCGGAAGCCGGTCCGGCCCCTGGAGTTAAAGGCTTTTGCTAGCTCAGCCGGGGTCCCCTTTGCCCCTTTGCTCACTTTTCGCAAGGTTTTGGGCTTCATGCTTCCGGCCCCTTGTAGTTGCATTTCGAGGGGTCTTGTGGTTTCTCAGTGTGGTCCATTTGGAGGGATTTTCAGAATTACTTCCCAAACAAGACACAACCGCAAGCCACGACAAACCCTATGTTCAAATTGCAGGATTTAGCTGTTCTACCTGCAGCGTTTAGATAATCCACAACACCCCTCAAGAGGAGACAACCGGAGAGCTAACGTTAAGTGTTTCCAGGGGGAAGAAATCGCCATCTCGCCTGGAGGTGTTGCCAGACTTATATAGCTTACCTCTTTCACTTTTTTGCCTTTTTGTTTTCCTCCCATGAAACAAATCAACGAACGACTTGCAGGGATCGAATCTGTGGAACCCACCTTGCTGGGAAGAGGGTATCCATGGACTTGGCCTGGGGTGGGTTCTCAGGCCCGGACCGCGGCAAAGGGGCGAAAGGCAAGGAGGCGACAGAGGGGTCAGCGGAATGGGCGGTGAAGTCGGGTTGGATCAGTCCATTTTGGGTTGTCTCGAATGCCGCGTTTCCCTGTAGTTTCCCCTGTAAGCCAACCTGAAGAGGCTACCCTCAAGAAAAAGGTGAACAAATGCGTGCCACGGTCTTAATCGAATTTTGGACAACCATTTTTATTGAGGGACATGTAAGCATTCGAACAGCGGCACCAAAACACGAAGGCATCTCAGACCTACCCAGATTTCCCTGTCCATTTGAAGCACTGCGCTGAGTGACGGTCTTGCGGCAGTGCCGGGCCTTGTTGCCTCAGTCTATGGCCTGGTTCGTGGGGCGTCACATGTTTAGAAAACGATTGCGCCCGGTCAGGTCCGGTCGATTTGCTCTGGGCAAACGAAGTTCATTGGCAAACCCAGCCTGGGTAAGACCCCATAGCTGTTGCTGCCGGTGGCAAAATGTCAAGAGACAACAAGTGTAGCCCTGGTGTAAATAGCAAACCTTCCAAAATGCGGTGTTTTCCTTCTGGTGTTCCTTTCAACTCATTCAAAGAAAAGTCAGAACTTGTCGGGCAGTTTCAAGAGGTGTGTTTCTTTGATCTCCAAGTGCAGCTCTCGTGAGCCGCTGCCTTGCTTCAGGCGCGGCGTGCAGGCTGGCCGAGGGAAACCGGTTCACTCAAGGTTCCTTGCTGAGGGATTCTTGATATCAAGTTTGTGTGTTTTTTCTTCATTTGTGCAGATTCCGAAGTCACCGTGGTCCAGCAAGAGCAAAAGGATCCCGGCAGAGAGTCGCTTTTTGCAGCCAGAGCCGGAGCCGCGGCGGATTTTTTTTCCCGACATCACTCTGTGGGTTTTTTTACTTTGCGTTTTGTGTCGAAGAGTGGTTTCCATCCTATAGGACACCCATGTACCTCTTTCTTGCAAGACCCGCCCGAAATGTCATTTTTTTTTGAAGAGAGCTTTGATGAACACGCACACCAGCAAGCAACTACTCAGTTAAACCCGTCAGACATGCTGTGAGCCAGGTGAGTCGGTGAATTTGCGGTGGTGTGTTGTGAGAACCCTCCGTTTGTTTTTTTTTGGGGGCCAGTGGTTGTGTGAATTCACGTAACTCAGCTTTCCCGTTTCCTGCACCACTGCCCCTGCCACAGGTTGGGAACATGTGCACAGGGCCTCTTCTGAGGTTGTTTGAACATAAGGGCATATCAAAAAATAGCCCCCCCTCACTCAAAAAAGACCCGCGGAAAACAGAACAGGGCTGGTTTCCTCTTTCTGCCAAAAAAGGGGATCCAAACCAAAATGCGGCCCACACCCCTGCCGTTTTTTCCTCTGCGAGCAAGCCCCTCTCTGGCGCCTCTGCCTCTTCTCTGGCGGCGAGCATTCCAGGCGAGGCCGAGAACGGGCGCCGGAAGGGCCAGAAGGGCGCGCCGAAAGGAGCCCGCGCGGCCCCCGCGCGTGTCTTGTCCGTGTCATTCTGTGATCCTTCTGTCCTTCTGGTGGGATGCGGGGGGAAAAGACCAGAAAGCGCTAGGGGGAAAAAGCCGGCCGGATGCAAGAAAGAAGAAGAGAACCCAGCGCTAGGAAGAAGACAAGGCCCTAGGCAAAAAGCAAAAAACACCTCTACCCCTTGTTGTTGGGCTTCTTGTGTCTTGTGTCTGCTTTTGTTTGCGGGTTTGATTTTTGACTTTGTTTCTTTAGCCTTTTGCTTATTTGTGCATGTCTTGTCTTTCCAGATGTCTTTTTTCCGTTTCTGCTTGTGAGTTTTCTTTTTAAATTTTCGAGCCCTTTTTGGCGCAGGGGATGGTGGTTCCGTTCGGTGTTTGGCGCTGGTTTTGGGTTGGAATCGCCGGTGTTCCTGACATTATCCCGTGATGTGTTTGTGTGGCAACTGCAAACTGCCAAATAGACCCAGGGAGAGTGTTTTTCCATTGACCAAAGAAGGGGATGAGACTCAATATCATTGTGCCTACGGGCCCATGCGACCCTTTGAGGAGATTTCGAGGAAAGGCCGCGGCGAGATGGCGGCAAGGGGAAAGGACGAGGCGGGGAAACAAAAACAAGCCACAAATGCCTAAGGCCCTTCAAAGTGGCTTGTCCAAACTTGCTGGATTTCAGGAGAGAATGAACCACCCATCCCCTATGGTTTCCTTTAAGGGACACCTAGTTTCATTCTCAGAACTCTGGGTCATTCCCTACCTATCGCACCAGCACGACAATTACTTTCGGGGCCCGGTGTTTGCTCTTTGAAGCAACCATTCACAGGGCAACTTCAATGAAAAACCAACATGAGGCTGAGAAAGGACCAAGAGGTACGTCAACGCAGTCGATTAGCCCAGAAGAGTTGCCCCACTTGCAGTCGATGAGCCAGACCGGCCAATTCAATCCTCGGGTTGGTTGAGCGGGGGCGGGCACAGTTAAATTGAGATTTAACGACTCTCGAAGTATTGAAGTCAAATTATAGCCTCGTAGACCCCTGGAAACAAAATTGGTGGGTTGGGGTGCCCCCAAAACCGGGTTGTTGTTCCGTGGGTTAAGAGCGGGAAACCCAAAGGAAGGTTCACATGTGTTGAAACCTTCTAAAAAGAGACACCCATATGGCTATGAGTTTCAATAGAAACAAAAACACCTCAAAAGTGGTTGGTGGAAAATCAATCAACACAGAAGTGATGTCCTCCAAAGGCTCGCCATTTTCCATTTTTGTTGGTAAGCATCACTGTTTTCATTTGTTTAAAGGGCTAGGACTAGGGCTCGGGCTGGCTGGTTGGTTGCTTGCATCTCCAGCATCACCGGCCTCCACGTGGTGGCAGTGGAGTGTTGCTCAGGTTTTACGAGGGCGGATCTTGGGTTGGTTTGGGGCTGATTCAGGCTCGGCATATCCAGGCGGCTGCTGGGTGGGTTTTGGGTTGACTTTTGGGTGGGTTTGGGTTGGCATGGAACTCACTTACCAGCAATCTGAAGCAACCCTAGAGCCACTGCTAAACCAGCCGCACACCCAGCACAAATCAGCTCCAGCCAACTCAAACCACCCGAAACCCACCCAACAGCAGCCTGGATATCAGCCCTTGCCAAGCCTAAATGAACCCCAAACCAACCCAAGACCCGCCCTCATTAGGATCTCAGGCAGCCTAAAACTTGCCCTAAACCAACCTGAGCAACTCTCAACTGCCACCAAGTCCGATGTAATGGGCAACCCCAGGTCCAAGTGAGGCTGGCCGAACAACCAGACCTAGTCACAAAGCCAAGCCTCTACTCGTCACTTTGTTGGGCCCATGAGGCTTTCCAGGGAATGAGGGCGCTAAGCTCGTAGGCATGACAGTGCGCCCACTTCCTTGAACGCTGCGTGAATCCTTAGGCAAAGCCTACGAAGGCAAGGCCTACGAAGGCAAGGCCTACGAATACGAAGGCCACGACAAGTCCTACGACAAGTCCTACGCCTACGACTGGCAATCCTGGAATGACGGTGCCTGCCTTAAGGCTCTTGAGCAGGGATACTCCCGTTGGGTACCAAAGGTAAGTGGTTAGTAAGCCTGGTTATAACCCACTTGGGAGACTTATAGCCATGGTAGGTGGGTTACAACCGCCTTACTAGCCACCTAAGTACCCGATCGCCCCTTGAAGTAGGTGCGGATATTTCGGCCTTTTGAGACGTTTTTGGGTTTTGACTGCGACGGAACCAACACTAACACTCAGTTAATCTGCGAAGGTTGCCACACAGGCGCTGAGGGTCTTTGGCCTGTTCTCAGTTCGCTTGAGGTTGTTTTGGTGTCTTTGCGTAGGGGTCGAACGGGTGTGTTCTAAATAGAGCTCCAAAGATGGCTTGCTTTCTGGTTTTTCTTGCATCCAATGGAACATCTCCTTGACCCTTCAAAAAACCCAGCGGAAGGGCAAGGAGCGCTCAACCCTTTTCGCTTGCGAAGCCTTCCTTTGCGCCAGCCGGCCGCGGGAGTCATGTAGATACACAAATGGATGCTGAACACTGGATGCAATTCTGCACATGTTTTGTTCTCAAAAGGCTCAAATACGGATCGATTGGCTCAAGCTTTCAGATTGTGCTCACACTGTTGCAAGTTGGCTAATGGCTGTGAAAGTGGCAAATGGCAATGCTGTTTACTGAAGGTGCAGCACTCTGCCGAGACCACGCTTTTCCATCCGGTATTTCCTGTTTGCCGGAGTCAGCGGACATAACTTGGGATCGTGTTCTGTTTAGAAAAAGTAGATGGAACATGCGCGGACTTTTCCGTTTGCGAGGACGACCAGACATATGAGGAGTTGTTTGCGCTGATGCAGCAAGGTCATTGCGATTGGCAGTTCAAGAGAGCTAGGTGCATGAGGGACGTCTTCACCAGAGATGACCATGTTGCGGATGTGAAAAGACCGTACTCTCTTTGGTCATGGATCCACGCGTGGGCTTAATGATGTTGGCGGATATGAATCGAGGAATCATGCTCACTTCTTGCGGAGGTAAAATTCAACGACGTAGTCCATCAAGTATGGCTCGCAGGATTGTCCTTCTTGTGAATGACCCACTTGAAGGAGAATTCGCATGTGCAGTTTTCGACCCCCCGGCGAAAGCTTTCTCCTGGATCTTTCCCAAATTAATGTTCACATCAGGAGAACGCTGGCCTCTTGTCATGGCCATACTCTCTTTCAACACATCACATGATGTCGAGCAAACATGGGCGTCCTTGTGATAATGGCACACTGCAAATTCACTTGAGCAGCGTCCGAAACCTCCGTGTACATGTTTAGTAAGAGTCATGTCATATCGACCAGCGCGTAAGGACAAACGCCACGCGCGTAAGGTGGCGTAAGCTGGTGGCGAAAGCAAAACCTCCAAATGTGTCGCGTAATCAAAAACTCCACGCGCGTAAGGTGGCGTAAGCTGGTGGCGAAAGCAAAACCTCCAAATGTGTCGCGTAATCAAAAACTCCACACGCGTAAGGTGGCGTAAGCTGGTGGCGTAAGCAGAATGATACGACAAATCATGACACGTTTAGGACATGGCTCAATTGGACCCCACATCACGCGGGTCCAAAGAGTTTTCTGGTTGGCCTGGCTTCCATGGCTCTGTCCGTTTCCGGATCTGACGGCCCCCCGAAAGAACCGACCGAGGCGGCTGGTCCAACTGGGATTGGCAGCAGGAGTCCGACTGGAAGGCCCGCAGGAATGAACCTTGAGTGCTGCGATACAGTAACTCAGCTCACTCCCTGTGGGTTAAACTTTTTGGGAAGTCCATAGTGGCAAACAGAGAGTTTGGGCCGTTGCCCAAAACGCCGAGGTTCTGAGGTCAGGTCCCACTTTGGTATGTGTATGACAATTTTTACATTCCACAAGCATGAAGTGAAACACATGGGCAATCACATGCAACAACGTATGGCGTTGAGGCCAGGTTCCGGGAGGATAAGATTAGGGTTGTGGGGAAGCTCAGGGATTGACTCTTGGTGGATGCTGGAGATGTTGTTTGCCCAGCTTTGGGCGAGCTCAGGATCCGGGGGGGTTAAAATGAGCTCACCATGAGGGTCCTTTTGCTTGGGGATCCAGTTCGATTTCTGGTTTTGGGGTCGTAGAATTTGGGCATGGGCCCTTTGGTGGACATTAGGAAGGCATGAGACTTCATTTCGACCCACCGTGTTTTGCGGCTGTTCATAGCCATAGGACTCCATTTCCCCTTTCGCCGAGGAGAATCACGGCAAAGCCAAGATGAAAGGAAGTCCCACTCCGCTTTCTTTCGGTGTCCAAAAATAGATATGAGCGGGGCTTGCATGGACCAAGAAATAGGAGGCCGATGAGGGGACAAACAAATTGGGCCCAAACTTTGCTGGTGTCCAACGAAACATGGGGGGATGCTTCTTTGGACACATCGGATCAGGCCACGCAAATTGGTTGGGTTTCCTTGGTCAAAGCGGAGTACCACTTGCTCTTAGGCTAGGGACCAAACAATGGCTTACCTGAACGCTTGAAACCTCATGATCCATGCTCTAAATGGGTCGGTAGAGGTGCTCATCAAGCATTTTGGGAACTTCATAGGACTCTGCGACATCCACCAACAACAGATGTACGTAGATATTTTTGACCATCGACAGCCACTATGGCCAGAGTTGGGATTCGGGAAACCGAGTTCTCGGGATTCCCTGGCCATCACCGTGTGACTGCCGTTCCATTGGACGCAGACGTTCCCCAAGGGCAAGATTTGGGTTGAAGCAAGGAACCCGGTCGAACCCGAATCAGCCCTTTGGCCGCGCAGGCGAATGGGTGGCATGGGTCCTGGTAGGCGAGTCCGTTTCGGATTGGGAAAGCAGTCGCAGGCCAATCATTTTGGGGGCAACAGGGCGAACATGACTTCTGGCAACCTTGTTTGGGGATCAACCAGGAGACTTCACATGAGGTGTGTTTTGATCTGCAGAGTACTTGGCTTGGGTTAGCCTATATCACTGGCCCAAAATGGGCCGCTTTGTTAAGAGGGAAGTCCAAAGAGCTGAGTTGGCACAGGTCCATCGGTCCACTGCTCCATTGCTGCACGGGGGCTCCTGATTTGGACCTTTAGCAGGAATGGGCCAGTTGATAGGTGGCTTGTCCCCGGTTTTCAAAGACGTTATGATCCATCTCAGTTGGTGGTTCAAAGCCGACTCGCAGGGTGAGAAGATGATGGCCAAAACTTCGCCCTTGATGCGCCCTATGTTTTTCCACTCTCTCCCCTGCAAGCAGCCCTTCACGTCGCTTGAGCTTTGACCATGATTGGGTTTCAGAGACAATTTTCCTGATACCAAGAGACTCTCTGGCACTTTGGTATCACAGAAAGGGCCCGACTTCCCACAACCACGGCTTTGTCAAGCTGCAGGCTGCATCCTGCCGTTTGGGACCTGACCGCTGAATCCCGGCTCCTCCGACGACGGAAAAGGTACCCTAAAAGTGTAAGCGGATCCCCGCCGGATCTGCTGGCGAGTTCTGCGCCGAATCATCGGTGCAACAAATTGTAGTTCTGCCCTGTGCAGATTTGCAGGCAAGAGCCATGCTATGGCGTCCGTTCCGCAAACGGATGCACCCTGCACCCGTGCTGCTTTGGAAAAGTTCACACGATGCAATGCCGTATTGCCTGGACAACTGCGTCAAATGGGAAACAAGGGGGGGACCACCATAACGGTTGTTTTCCTTTTGGCTTGCCTTTGAACCAAGGCTAAACGGGTACTCTCGGAAACACGAAACAATATCTACGTGCAGCTGATGCGGTCAGTTCAGGCGACCAATATTTTGAGAAACCTTGGCAACTTGCCTTCATTAAACGAGGTTTCTGTTCACATGTCAGGGAGATCCGCGATAGACGGTTCTAATCAAGGAATTGGTTCCGGGACTATCATTTGTGCAGCTTCCGGGAAAAAAACACAAAACAACAAAAACAAAAAAACGACAAAACAAGAAAAACAAAAAACACATTTGTCGGAACCCATGCAACAGATCACCATTCATAGGGGTTCCGAGACCCAGGGGTGTTGGAGGGTTCTGGGCCAGGTGCAGTACCTCCAGTTGTGTTTTGCGGTGCAGTCCTGCAAGCTGCTGTATGGCACTGCCCTCCCTCCCCTCCCTCCCTCCCTCCCTCCCTCCCTCTCTCTTCTCTCTCTCTCTCCCTCTCCCTCCCTCCCTCCCTCCCTCCCTCCCTCCTCCCTCCCTCCCTCCCTCCCTCTCTCTTCTCTCTCTCTCTCCCTCTCCCTCCTCCCTCCTCCCTCCCTCCCTCCCTCCTCCCTCCCTCCCTCTCCCTCCCTCCCTCCCTCCCTCTCTCTCTCTCTCTCTCTCTCTCTCTCTCTCTCTCTCTCTCTCTCTCTCTCTGTGGGCGCACATGTCATGCGCCCGGTATTGACCGCAGCTAGTACTTGTCAGATGTATTGATTCGTCAGCCCAATGTTGGCTGGTTTTACTTTCGGAGCACAGCCGCGGTCTCAGCCTGGTTGCTGAAGAGAGGAGACTCTGCTTGATGTCTTGGGACCCAAGCAGTTTTTCCTGCTTGGGCAACGATTTGAACACTGGTTGGGGTTCAGAGTCAATTGGCGGCAATCCAACCCCACAAATTAAGGATTAACTGGAATGGGGACTTGCACAGCAAGGCAGTGCATTTTGGGAGAATCTGCAGAATCCTCATTCACGGGTTGGGTATGCTCAAACGGCATGTCGGAGGTTTCTAGGCAGGGTTCCTTTTCACTACCCCAAGGCAGATTCCTCCCCCAGATTGTGTAGTCTCCCAACGAGAACTGTAAACCCAGGTTTTAGTATACCTTGAGGTAACCAATGGGTTCAAGTTTGCCTCGCAGAGAACTTTAGGAGTGTGTTGGGATACTATGAGCCCCGCATTTTGCTTCTGATGTCGGCCGAATTGCGGAGGTGTCAATGTCGAAGTGCGCGGTCTGTGGCGAGAGTGCGGGGGGCCAAAGGGAAATCGGAAGGGCTGCCCTGCCAAGCCACATGGGGTATACCAAAGCCTCTAGCGATACCCAGCGTGAGAACTGGGGCTTGGCTTGGCCCATATTCCCTTGAGGACCCCTTTTGTTGGGCTATCTTGGGAGGGGCAACATTCGGAGTGGCGGATTCACATTGTGCCGGTTTGGCTCTCAGGAAGTTGGCATGGTGGCCCAAAATCACCCGGGAGAAGGGGCTAAGTACCTACTTTCCTGCTAGAATCATGACAGATTTTGTTTTTGTAGGGGCCAGTTGCCGCCAGTTGTCAGAAAGAGGTGCGGATCGGCACTGTTGGGTAGACTCCTGCAGCTCACTTCTGGTGCCAGGGTGTGGTTGCGACTCATTTGGGTGTGGCTCAAAATTAAACAGGAGGGGTTACGCAGGTTTTGGTCCATGTTTCCACTTTCCAGGGTTCCATTTTGGTACCGGTTTTTGGAGCCACAGCCATTTATCTTCGCAGAGGAAGTCTGTACGCCCGGCGCGTGTACCGGGCGGTGCGCCCCCCTTTTCGAGCGAGATGGCTCGGAGGGGTGCATTGTGTGGACCTTTCGGTGCCTCTAGTCTAAGCCCTAAGCCATGGTCTTGGCAATCATCATTTCTCCCACGTGTTCGGAAACATACTTTGAGCGGTTGGGTTTGGCGACATGCCCACTTTCCTTGCCGGACTTCACTGGCGCTTTGCCCCTGCAGAGACTGGCCAAGCTCGAGGCTGTGTCAGTGTGCTCTGTCTGTCATGCCTGGGCCCTGGCTGCAGAACAGGGGGGTTTTCTATGAGTGGTTTAAGCATCACCTTTTGGGGCAGGTGAGTGTCCCTGATGTTTCGAGGGGAAATAGAGGAGTGGTGGAACTCTGTACAGCCAGATTTGAGCCAACTGATGGGAGCCCAAGATTGGACCTGGGCAAATTACAACGAATCCACCATCTTTTTGCGAGGAGGGCAGTTTCTCGCTTTTGGGGGGTTTGGCATTCAGTAGACCTCTGGGTGTGAGATGGATGCCATGTTGTTTTCCCATGTTGTTTTCCGGGTCCAACACATTTTGTTTTGACCTGCGGGTGCGAGTGAATGACTTTCCCATCATTCCCCAGCCTCAGCTATATCTTTGGCAGGGGACAGGAAAGGAATGGATTCATCTTTATGTGGGTGATGGTAGGAACTAAGATAAGGATATATTGAATCGCTTGGAAGTGACTGTAAGCTTGGGACACCTCAGAGCTTGGATGAAGAAGTCAAGCCTTTGGTACCAGCCTGGCGTTTATGGACTTCTTCCATCTGTCTCTTTTTCCTTGTCCCACCGTCTGTTCCTGAGAGATAGGTTTTGACGTGGAACGGCGGAGAGACAGAGGAACGGAGTGAGTGAACAGGAAGGACAGGGACGAGACACTTCAGACGTAGCAAAGTGGATGATGACAGGTGGCTCACTCCCGCCGCCATATCTTCACCGTTCCATCGTGAGACACGAGACCCGGAGATGTAGAGGAGAGGTAAGTGACAGCGAGTAAACGAGCCGGAGTCACCTCTCTCCTATTCCTTGTTTTTCATCTCTCTAACACACACACACATGACCAAGCGATGAAAGAGAGAGGGAATGGTGTGGAAAAAAAGGCATAAGAAAGACAAAGGAAAGGAATGCACCTCTTCTACCCACATCCTATTTTTGGAGGTGCTTGGCCAAGCAATCTTGAAGTTAGGAGAGTTATAGAGGTGCTTCCTGGCCTATCATTATCTCACTCTTTCATATCCTTACCAATCCATCCTCCATTTAATAGCATTCTGATGGAGTTATGATGGATGTCGATGGAAGTGCTATCCTTGACATTTCTATAATTCACATCCCAAAGGCTCAGAAATAGAGTGAAATGGTCTGAAGTTGACTGGAGACACAGCTTTCCTTTTCACTCCGTTCTTTCTTTAGTCTAGATTTTTAATCATTTTCTCTTTCTTCCTCGTTTCACCCTTCATTAATACCTGTCAATTGGTGAAACAAAGATATGAAGAAAGACCAACATATATCCAATCCATTTCTCTCTCCAACATAAGGACTCTGACGGAGAGAAATGGTGAGAGGAGAAAGGGAATTATGAAAGTGATGACCCATTTCTTCTTCATTCTTCACTTTGTCCTTTCTTTAACAGCTTTTTGTTTCTTTTTTTTTATTTTTATTAATCATATCTATTTCTTATTTACTTTCTATTTCTTTATTATTAATATATGATTATTTCTATCATATCATTTTTTGTTTATCATTATTATTATTATTATTATCTGTCTTATTTATAATTCTTTTCTCTTATCTTTCTACATCTTATTATTTCCTGATATTTTTTTTATTATTTACTTTCATCTTCCTGTTCTTTATCTTTATGTTTGCAATCTTTCCATTCCTATTCTTTATTGTTTATTCCTTTTTAGTATTTATATCTTCTCCGAATTATTTTCTTTGCTTTTACCCTATCTTTCTTATCTTTATGTCGTTTTTTTTTCTATCTCACCTTTTCTTTTCTTTTACTTTTCAATGCTTTTATTATTTGTTGCACATATGAATCCAGATGAAGAGATAAAAGACAGGAAACTTGATGGGACATATCTTTTACTTCTTCATATCCTCCTACCCGCTCTCGTTGATCGCTTCCGGAGTATTCATCACTTTAGCATTTCCCTTTCTGGTGTGTGTCCGTGAGAAGGACTTCCAGCTCTTAGAGAAGGCTTGCCAAGGAATAGACAAAAAAAAACGTAATATAATATGTGCATTTCTTTATTGTTATTATTTTCGTATCTTTATATCTTCTACAATTTACAGGATTCTATAGACACAGGATATAGACGGATAGTGATGGAGACAACAGGACATATTAACATGAATTATACAATAGAATTAATATAAACATAATTCCAATAAAACAAACCAGAGCACACTAAAGTCATGTCCTGAGGACTAGCCATAATAATTCTAGCATATTCTCTTTTCTATTCCATTCTAATATGTGTAATCATAATGAAATTTCCATAAGATGAGATTATGAAAGTAAATAGCTGGTGATGGGAAGAGAAGGGACCCATCACCATTTACTTTCATATCCTTTCCTTTCTATTTCCTTCTTCTCACACTACATCCTGTCCTTTCGGATGTTAGGTGTGGAAGGTTGGGGCAACTTGCCACGTACCGCCTTTTCGAAGATGAGCCAGCCAACTTGACCCTTGCAAAGCTAGACAGCTGTTAAAGAAACTGGCCATGAAAAAGGAAAGGGAGTGAGATAAAGTGAGAGAGAGATGCAATGAGACCGTTCGTTTGCTCGGTCAAACATCTCTCACACACACACACAGACACTCACTCTCCATCTCTACATCACACCCCAAATGCTCTTATTTGGTTTTCCTGCATTTGGTCGCATCATCCATCACTGTCCCGCCACTGTAAGCCTCACCGTGTGGAACAGTTGGTGAGGGATGGATCCAGAATGAGATGAAGGAAGAGCAAATCACATGTAAAAGGCGGAAATAACTGGCCAGCGGGTGGTGCACTATTATAAATCTTCTTTACTGAACATATATTTTGGAAGATTGACAATGCTCACCCAATCACCGCAGATTGCAGGGTTGGGCTGGATATTTGATTAGCACCCTACCCGAAAGCATTTGTTTTAGCACCCTGACCGAAAGGGTCATCTCAGGGAAGCTCAAGGGAAGTTTGAGAAGTCGCGATTTGTAGGATTTCCGTCTGCAGTCTATCCAAAATAGGACAAGAACAACGGCCCCTCCCTCCTTATAGGGCAGGATTTCTGGTCAAACGCACCTGGCCTGCTTAAAAGGGGAAGTCCAAGGTTATTGGAGCGAGAGAGGCACATGGAAAACTTGGGTTGCCTTGCAGGGGGCAGTCCCCTTTGCCAAAGAAGACATCGGTGCCGACGCCGGCTGTGCGTTTAGTTCTGGGCACAATTGAGGAGGTTCCACGTTCATCTCCTTTGGACCTTAGACCAGGTTTGGTAATAACTCAAAGCAGGTACAAAAAGGGTTGCCGGTTGTTTGGGCGTCTGAATGATTGATGAGTTTGTGTTCTTTTGCCATTAACATATTCTATATAGATAGCTAGATATTTTTTTTAAACATGGTTTACATTCTCGAAAGCACTTTGTCTCGGGTCGACCAAAGGGATGAGCTGCGCTACTGTAGGTGAAGGCTGAAGTCGGCCAAGTTTGTGAACAAGCAATAGACCGAGCCCAAAAAGATTGCCCTCAGAGGAACACCGCAAACCTGGGGTTCCCATTTTTTGACCTATCTTGTAAATTTCATGGGGATTGAACCATCGCCTTTTACGCCGGTGTATTGTACGTCTCCGTGTGGTGTGTGCTTCTTTGGGTTACTCAAGGCAGCTTGGCAGACCGGTTCTCTGGAAACGCCTTTGGGGTGACTGCGAATCTTTTCAGGTTTCCTTTTAATTTCCCTTTGCCAGGCACCATTTAGGATTCTTCCAACTTGTGCAGATCGACGTGACTCCTCGAAAGCACCTCGACTCGATGGACCGACGGCCGACTAAGGTGGAGAAGTACTGTAGCACAGAGTGCCAGCGCGGTCACTGGAAGGTAGGGCTCGATGTTCGGGGAGTGTGCACGGTCCAGTCCTCTTCAACAGAATCACTATCACGCCACTATAGAAGGTTTGTACCATTTTTGCCCTTGGGCGCTTGGTGGTTTCGGCGTGGAAACCTCTGTGTGGAAGTTGGCCATGCCAACCACGGATTCGTAGAACCTAGTAAACAAATCAGACATCGGGGGGTTGAGATCACACCCATGTGTTCTTCGGGTGGGGTAATCATTCGAACATTTGGGAATGTTAAGGAATGGTCATGGGACTCCTTTGTAGGGATTCATGGCAACCAAAAAGGTATTTCTTTTTCTCAGTGCACCCTCTTTTGGTGGTTTCAAAGAGAAACAAAAGGCACACTTCCATTTTATGGGGATGCCCAAAACAAAGACACACCCACAAGTCTGTTACAACCACAATATTGACAGGGGCGCGCATGTATCATGTTGTCAAGGTTGTCAAGTCTGGAGGGACTTTAGACAACCATCTTACCGCTTGGATATTTTCGGGCATTGCGTGCGTGCGTGCGTGCGTGCGTGCGTGTGTGGGTATGTGTGTGTGTGTGTGTGTGGGTGGGTGCGCGCGTGCGTGCGTGCGTGCGTGCGTGCGTGCGTGCGTGTGTGTGCCCTGGTGGCTTCCCCGGTTTCGGCTTCGGTCTCACGCCCGGCTGTAAGCTTTCGGCTGTGAGAGAAAGCCACAGTCTCATGTTCCCAGTCTCCAATGGGGTTCCGTTTCACAGCTTGAAATCAACGTCCGATGGATCCTCCGGAACCTGAGAGTGGTTCTCATATACAAGTTGACTCTGTCCATGTTGTCCAACACCTGGCGTGAAATGCCTCTAAGCTCCTTTCGAGTCTTCAGGACATTGCAGCTCCGAGCTGGTTGCTCATGCGCTAGGACGAGACAGCAGCCCCAGCACGGCCACTTACTATCCCCCATAATAACCATTTCGCATACAAGGATGCCTGACCGAAGGCTCGCGCCAAATGGGTGTGGCTCAAAATTAAGCAGCAGGGGTTACGCAGGTTTTGGTCCATGTTTCCACTTACCAGGGTTCCATTTTGGAATTCCGGTTTTTGGAGCCATAGCCAAATCCCGCTGGATCCCGCACCTGGACACCGGCCACCCAGCTCGTCGCATCGACAGAAATTTAAGCGCGGAATGGGACGGCCATGGATCCCAAAGCTGCCACCGCCTCGGGGCTGCTGAGTCTGGGGGTTCGGGGCCTCAGGTCTCAGACCCCCAGGGAGCAGGTTGCCATGACATGGTTTGGCAGGTGTTTGGTGGTTTTTGGCAGTTGGGCGGACCTTGGGGGCGTGTCTTGGGGGCCTGGGATGTTTTTGGAGGGTTGGATGCTTGGGTTTTCGTTCACTGGGTTGGTTGCAGGCTCTACACTCGCTGCTGTGTCCTGCCTGGCTTTGTCCCAAAATAGTGGAACCCTCCAAATGAGGTTGGTTTGCTTTTGCTTCTCCTCTTCTCCAAAAAGCGTACTCCCCCGCCCCTCCCCAATTCACACTTCGGGCCGGTCCTGAGGGAGCTCTGGGCATTTCCCGCGTCCGAAAGCACGGCTTCGGGCTGCGGGGACCCACGGAACCCGCGGCTAGGCCTGGTGCCTTCTGCTGGCGGCCATCTTCTACCCTGGCGCCTGGGGCAGGGCCAGGGGCCCGGTCCAGCCGAGGGGGGAACGGGGGGTGGTCAGCAAAAGGGGGGGCTTGGGTTGTAGGGGTGGTTTGTTGATGTGAAACAGAAACCAAAGCAACGAAGCCACTCAGTTTTTGGGAAATCCACTTTCTGTTACCCTTAAAATAATCCCGTGCGTCACTTTGGTATGACAGCTTTGTGCTCAAGGGAAGGAGACAGGAATTTAACTATGTTGGGGTCTGCTCATTTGAGTCCAGCCCAAGTACGTGCAGATCCAGATTGATTGTTTTTCTTGTGGATTCCCTTTAGCACTAAGCAAGGACACGTGTTTCAATTACTGCACATGAACCCCTTTGGTTTTGGATGTCTCAAGGTCCATTTTCCAACTGGAGTTCCTACCCGACAGAGGTTCCGTGGGGCACGGGCGATCTTTCGAGGGGAGGTGCGCTGTGTTCGTGTTGCTACTGAAGTGGGGGACAAAGTGCAAGGCCTTGTGTACAGAGGACGCGCACCGCCTCCCGAGGTATGTACAATGTATATGTGGGTTTCTGTCAAAATTAAACCACCAGGGGACCGCAGGCAGGTTTTAGTCGATGTTTTCATTTACCAGGGTTCCATTTGGGGGCCTTATTTTTTACCCACAGCCATGTATGTAATGTATATAGGTTCGATAGAAACGATAGAAATATCCAGCAGTGTGTGGTCAATTTGGGAGGGACGAAGAGTACAAAGGACGACGGCCCTGCTTGCTTTGATGTCCTTTACGGTCACCATACTGCTTTGGAGCTGAATGCAGTGGAAGATTAGCATGTGCGTGGTGGCCTATGCTCCGCTTGCAAAATTTTCAGCTTGCACCCTGTTCCTTCCAACTCATTTACGCAATCGAGCCGGAACTTTCAGAGGTACCAATCATCGCCCAGCTCAGGTCTGATCAAGAGATGCAGGCATGTGTACAAATAGGGGAGCCCCCAGCAGGTCGCTTTCCTTTCAGTTTCTCTCTTGACCAACCTGAAAGTGGCACAAAGCCTGAACACAGCACTCCCATCTGAGGAAAAACAACACACACCAGCACTTTTAAGGAAAAAACAAAACCATGAATTTTAGCGAACTCCAATGGGTTCGCGTCCACCTTGGGAGCTTACCACCCCCCCCAAGGCCTCGAAGACACCTCGGTCTCTCGATCTTCAAGGTGTCGGCGTCCCCGCCCCATGCGCGGCACCGGCTGGCAGCGGAGTTCGACCTCTGGCGGGGCTTCCAAAGCGAAGGGGGGATGGGGGGGGGGGGAAGGGGCGGAAGGATGGATGCTTGGAGCCTATTGTGCATTTTTTGCCACCAGATTCATTTGGGGTATTGGGTTTCTTAGGGTCAGTGGCTGCAGCTTGCACTCCTTAGAGTGTCCATGACACCGAGACCTGCTGGGTGTTGCGGGCGTCAGGGTCTTGGGCGTTGCGGGGTTTGGAAGGAGGTCGCCCAGAGTGAAGGCTTCTTGCATGGTTCCGAATATTTCCGAGGGACATGTTGTCTAATTTGGATTCGGGCTCAAGCCGGGCTCAGGGTTTCGGGCCGAAAGCCCGGGGGGGGGGGTGTGGTGCACCTGTCTTTTAGGGCAGAATTGCCTCCAAGTGTCCAGGGTACCCGAATTTCTACTTTTAGAATCATCAAGGTTCGCACAAATTGGGCCGCTTGCGCGATTTTGGGGTTGGGGGGGGAAGGTGAGGTACACAGGGTGGAGGGTCTGCCTTCGGCACTATACAATGGCCGGCAGTTTTGTTTGTGACACCAACAGTCTGGGCAACCTTTCCAAAGCAGAGCCAAATACAACACCAAAAGGCCAGTTGGCCGTGAGTCAAAATCATGGGATTCCATTTTGGGGTAGATGCACCACCCATTTTAGTCTAGTTTCGTGGGGATTGGGATGTTCACTGGGGGTACGGGGCTTTGACCCATGGCCAGTTGGCAGCAACAGGAAGGTGGGATTCTTCGCCTCCGAGTGTCTGCCCCTGCCTTAAGTGCCTTAGAAGCCTGCCCCCCCCCCCCCCCCGTCCAGTTCCTCCGAATTTATCAATGCCTCTGCATGGAAACCTAAACCGGAGTTTCCTCTTTTTCGAGAACCAATTACCTCTGAGTTTGCGTGGGTGCCATAGCAAGGGGAGTTGTTAGTGGCTGTTGGGGGGGCATGAAGGACCATGTCACGTGGGGGTGTCTTTTTCTTAGGATAACCCTTTTGTGTGGTGTTGAAGGGTAAAAGGAGAACCGAAGCCATTTTTTCGGGGTTCCCTGAAAAGACACATCCATGTCAAAACCTTGTCATGGCTCAGTCTGTCTAGGCAAGTGCAGCTGGACGTGCTCTTCTTGCCGGACCCGGCCTTGCCATGGAAGCAGGTCGGGTGTGTCTTTTTGAAAGAGGGCCTTTTGGGGTGGTTCAGGGAAAGCAAAGGAACTTCATCCATATCAGGCCCCTAGTGGGTGGTTTGGATTGGGAGTTTGGGGATTTGAACGAAGAGGGCAAATGCGACACCACCCCTTAAGCACCAAACCACCGATCCTTCCAATCAGAGGGAAGCGGATTTTCGGCTGCAGGGAAGGCAAGAGGAACTCCATACCTATGGGTTCCCTGAGAGGGCCATCCATTTGACCACGGCTCGCGTCAAGCGGCGGAGGTGCCGCCGCCCTTGCGCATCCCGCCGGTGCCGTTGTACCACTTTGTGCCTGCGCCCCGGGCGAAGAGGTTCTGAAGATGTCCGGGAGTCTACGGGGTTTGTGTCGAAACAGGGGATCTGCAAACATGGGGGAGGGGGGGGGGGTTGCGGTTTCCCCTAAAAGGGCCAACCTGAAAGGGCCATCAAAAGAACAGAAATATCTCTATGTTTTTGTGGGACATGTGCACAAAAACCAGCGGCTCTTGCTTCAGGTTCTGCCCTGCAAATTCACAGATGGAAATCGCAAAGGGGTCCCCAAAAGGAGAGTCCTCGAAACAGTATGTTTTGTTCGGGCTCAGTATCGAATTTGGGGATCCATAAGGGTTCATTTCCACAATGGCCACAAACTCACTCATCCAAAACACCCCCCAACACTTCTCTGGGTTCCTCTTGAGGCAATCCTGGTACTTGTTAATGTCTGAGGTCTGGCTTTCCACAAATCCAGAAGGCTTACCCTCGCCCGCGAAATGCGAACTCGACACCGAGGCACGGCCCTCCGGCAGTCCGCCTGCTCTGCAACCGCGCTTCGGGAGGCGAACGGCAATTCAGGGTTGCGAACGGGCACGAGAAAAGTAGAAGATTATAGAATGCAGAGATATGGCACGCAGAGACCTAAGATTCTTAATCTAAGATGCAACGATCGCAGCATGTTGCGGAGC